TGATTCCAGTCTATGTGTGTATGAACACATAGGATAACATGCTGCGGGGTTTAATGGCTGTAGGAAAAAAGTCAAAAGCCAAAAACAGCTGTAAAAACGTCCCGTGTGCATGAGGACTTATATTTGGTATCTATGCACACTAGCTTTTTTTTTTTTTTTAGCGTTTTTACAGTACATGAAAAGAAAACACTTGAAAAAAGCTGATATAAGCATTTTAGTAGCGTTTAGGAGCATTTAGGAGTGTTCAGATTTTTTTTCTACCAGGAAAAGACTCCCAAAAACAAAAACATTTTTTTTTCTGCCCCTAACACCCCGGACATGTTTAACCACTTGCACTCCAGAGGATTTACCCCCCTTAATGACCAGGCCTCTTTTTGCTACTCGGCGCTGCACTAATTCAACTGATAATTGCGCGGTCATGCAATGCTGCACCCAAACGAAATTTACGTCCTTTTTTTCACACAAATATAGCTTTCTTTCGGTGGTATTTAATCAGCTGTGCGCCTTTTATTTTTCATACTAAAAACAAAAAAACCCTGAAAATTTTGAAGAAAAACAATATTGTTTACTTTCAGCTATATAAAATATATAGTAAACTCAAAGTTGGTTATAAATTTAGGCCAAAATGTATTCTGCTCCATGTTTTTGGTAAAAAAAAAATCCCAATAAGTGTATATTGATTGCTTTGTGTGAAAGTTATAGCGTCTACAAACACTATGGTATAAATACTGCAATTTACACCATTTTTTTGCTGTACAGCACTGCGCTAGTTTAATGGACAATTGCGCGGTCATTTACATTTTTGTCCTTTTTTCACACAAATAGAGCATTCTTTTGGTGGTATTTGATCACCTGTGCACTTTTTATTTTTGGCGCTATAAACAAAATAATTTTTGAAGAAATTTTTTTTTTAAATATTTTCTCATTTCGGTCATAAAAATTATCCAAAAAACGAAAATTTCGTCATAAAATTTAGGCCAAAATGTATTCTGCTCCATGTTTTTGGTTAAAAAAAATCCAAGTAAGTGTATATTGATTGCTTTGTGTGAAAGTTATAGCGTCTACAAACTATGGTATAGATAATGGAATTTACACAGCTTTTACTTTCTGACTGACATTTCTGGAGGTATTCAAATACCAGGATAGTACAAACATCCTCAAATGACCCCTTTTTGGAAAGTAGACACCCTAAGCTATCTGCTGAGAGACATATTGTGTCCATGGAAGATTTATTTTTTTTCCACAAGTTCCTGGAAAATGACAAACATTTTTTTTACACAAAGTTGTCATTTAAATGATTTATTTCTTGCACAAGCCATGGGTATATGTGGAATTACACCCCAAAATACATTCTGCTACTTTTACCGAGTATGAGGATACCACATGTGTGAGACTTTTTGAGAGCCTAGCCACATACAGGAGCCTGAAATCCAATGACCACTTTGAAAGCCTGAAGGTGCGTAACTTCTTCATTTCACTTCCTCAAAACCTATCACAGTTTCGAAGGCCCTGAAATGCCAGGATAGCACCAACCCCCCCCCCCCCCAAATGACCCCTTTTTGGAAAGTAGACACCCCAAGGAATTTGAAAAGAGGCATGGTGAGTATTTTGCAGATCTCATTTTTTCTCACAAGGTTTTGAAATATAAAAAAAGAATAGAAAAAATATGTTTTTGTTTTTTTTCTTCATTTTCCAAAAACTTGTGGCAATAAATGAGATCTGCAAAATACTTACCGTGCTTCTTATCAAATTTTTTTGGGTGTCTACTTTCCAAAGTACAAGTCCAAAGACCAATCACAGCAGGTCACATGACAGTTGTATACAATGGATGGCTTCCTTTCATGCCAATCATTGTATACAAGTGTAGCTAGCTGTGAATGGTCACATCGATCACATGCACAAGCTGGACCAATCACAGCCCAGCTGTGTCACGTGATTATCTGTGGCCAAATCACAGTTAAGAAAAAAAAATCCTGAATGAATCGATTTCATTCAGGTAAATGCTTGCTTGTAGCAAAGTAATTCTTTGCTATAAGCAAATTTTGTAAAAAAAAAATATACTGATTACTTCCCCAAAGTAGTATAATGTTACTATGGTAACGTTATACTACTTTGGTCATAGTGAAATATGAAAAAAAAATCTTAGAAAAAGAAAAAATGTAATAAAAAATAATTAAAAAAAACATTTTTTTTTTTAAATTATCAATTTTTTTTTTCGTACTGTCACCAGTGTCCCTGATCACCGCCATGCCAGTTATTTGATGACGCTGTACTGCACTGGTGACAGTATGTAAAAAAAATAGTGAAAATCATTTTTTTAATTTCTTCATTTCCGAAAAATTATGACAAAAAATTACAACTTCAAAAAACCCGCCATGCCTCTTATGAAGTACGTCAGACTGTCTACTTTGCAAAAAGGGGTCATTTGGGGGATATCTGTACTGTTCTGACATTCTTGGACCTCAAGAAATTAGATTGACTGTCAGTACTTCAGGATCGATCAATTTTTAGATATATACCATAGTTTGTGAACTCTATAACTTTCCTACAAACTAAATAATAAATACTAATTTGGGTTATTTTCACCAAAGACATGTAGCAGAATACATCTCGGCCTAAATTTATGAAGAACAATCATTTATTTGCAAACTTTTATAACAGAAACAAAGAAAAACATGTTTTATTTTTCCAAATTTTTGGTCTTTTTTTGTTAATTTAGCAAAAAATAAAAACCCCAGCGATGATTAAATACCACCAAAAGAAAGCTCTAGTTGTGTGAAGAAAATGATACAATTTTAGTTTGGGTATAATGTTGTATGACCGCGCAATTGTCATTCAAACTGTGAGAGCGCTGAAACCTGAAAAATTGCCTGGGCAGGAAGGGGGTAAAAGTGCCCGGTATGGAAGTGGTTAAGCAAGTATTTTACCGAATGAAATTGCGTTTGGTTGTCATTAGCTCTGATTGACCCTGCGTGTACCATGTGATCACTGTGACCAATCGCAGCTAAAACAGGTCCTATACATGCATTGCACCAGTGTATTTTGTTGTTTGGCTGACGTTTACCACCTACACAGGTGGACAAGGGGGCACTCTTTACGTCTGGAGAAAAAGAAATTTCATCTCCAAACACGGAAAGGTTTCTTCACAGTGAGAGCTGTGAAAATGTGGAATAGACTCCCTCAAGAGTTGGTTCTGGCCAGCTCAGTGGATTGCTTTAAAAAAAAGTCCCGGACTGTTTCTTGGATACACAGAATATAACTGGATATATCATTTATAGGTAAAGCTGATCCAGGGAATATCTGATCTGAATATGCCTCTCGGGGGATCAGGAAGGAATTTTTTCCCCTGCAGGAGCAAATTGGATCATGCTTTGCTGGTTTTTTTTTGCCTTCCTCTGGATCAACTGTGGGTGTAGGATTATACCTTTTTTCTTTCAATGGTTGAACTGAACTTTTGTCTTTTTTTCAGCCAGACTAACTATGAAACCACAAAAAGCACCTATTCACTCAGCTGCCTGGGCCCCCCTGCTGGCCTGGGCCCCACACAGGAGGACTGGTGGTACCAGGGACGGACTGACAACTCATGGGGCCCCCGGGTAATAGGGGATCGTGGGGCCCCTGTGTCCTTGCCCAAATTTAAAAAATATTATGAAAAAGGTGCCAGGGGCATCTCATGGGGCCTCCTACTGATCCCGGACCCGAGTTTCCAAATGGTCAGTCCATCCCTGGGTGGTACCCCCTTATCCACAGCCCTGGGTACAGTGTAGCATGACCGCACAATTTCCAGTTAAAGTAAGGCATTGGCAAACAGCACAAAATGGCAAGAATATAACTGGATATATCATTTATAGGTAAAGCTGATCCAGGGGAATATCTGATTGCCTCTCGGGGGATCAGGAAGGAATTTTTTCCCCTGCAGGAGCAAATTGGATCGTGCTTTTTGCTGGGTTTTTTTTGCCTTCCTCTGGATCAACTGTGGGTGTAGGATTATACCTTTTTTCTTTCAATGGTTGAACTGAACTTTTGTCTTTTTTTCAGCCAGACTAACTATGAAACCTAGACAAGGCACCTACCTGCACTACTACAATATTGCTCTGGCAGTATTGGCAAATTGCACCGCTCTCTGCTCTGCCCCTCCCCCCCCATCCTGCATTCACTGCGGCGCTGGGCTGTGCAAGGAGCAGGGGCCACTGGCTCAGGCCCTCAGCTGGACCTTTCCCCAGCCTGGACTGGCTGAGTGACGTCAGCCGGTCCAGAACTGCACTCTTGTGATCCCCAGGAGAAGTACAGGCAAACGAACTTTGACTGTACTTCTCCTTTATTGCCGCCAGCAGCTGCTTACTTACCTCCCTCCCAAAGTCATTGACTCCTGCGATGTTTACATGCCATCCAACAAATCAATCCAGCTCTGCCACATTTGCACACTTCTCCATCATCCGATTAGATATACCAAAATGTTAAAATGATCATAAAGGTACAGCTAAACTATAAGGATTGTCAGAGGTTAGGCCGTTTCTCTGGTTTAAAAAAAAAAGACTTCATACACATCCTCTACCTAACCATCCCGCCCGGCCTAGAGCAAATGACAGTCAGGCAGGACTTTTGTTGCTCCTGAAAAAATCCTGACTTCTCTAGAGTAGTATAATGTTACTATGGTAAAATATTGCTCTGGTCACAGTGTGGTAAAAAAAAATGATAAAAAAAGAAAAAAAAAACCCCAAAAATTGTGAATATTTGTTTTTTAATTTCTTAATTTAAAAAAAAAAAAAAGAAGTCACTATGCCTCTTACTACATACCTTGGACTGTCTGCTTTCCAAAAAGTGGTCATTTGGGGGATATTTATACTTTCTTGGCATTTTTGGGCCTCAAGAAATGAGACTGGCTGTCAGTATATCAAGACTGATCGATTTTCATATATGTGCACTGTGCTGATTACCCTCCCTAACCACATCCTATTCACCCAGCTGCCTGGGCCCCCCTGCTGGCCTGGGCCCCACACAGGAGGACTGGTGGTACCAGGGACGGACTGACAACTCATGGGGCCCCCGGGCAATAGGGGATTGTGGGGCCCCTGTGTCCTTGCCCAAATTTAAAAAATCTTATGAAAAAGGTACCAGGGGCATCTCATGGGGCCCCCTACTGATCCCGGGCCCGAGTTTCCAAATGGTCAGTCCATCCCTGGGTGGTACCCCCTTATCCACAGCCCTTGGTACAGTGTAGCATGACCGCACAATTTCCAGTTAAAGTAAGGCATTGGCAAACAGCACAAAATGGCCTGGTTATGAAGGGAGTAAAATCTTCCAGAGGGCAAGTGGTTAATATGGATGGCGACTTAGGCCTGGTTCACACTAGTGCGGCCCGCGTCTCCGCGGACACGGCGGTCCATTTATTTGAATGGGTTGCTGTGCCAGTGTTTCATGCAAGAAAAAGGTGCATGCAAAAACGCATCTGCAGGGAACCTGCACGGTCTTTTTGATCTTGTGGTTTCCCTGCGGTTCCCACACCTGCGATCGTATTGTGGGCTGAGATGCGCGGGGGTGCCGTTCGGAATGAATGGCAGCCCCGTGCGTCTTGTAAGAGCAGAGCGATTCGGCTGTGGGTGGTTGCGGGTGCAGGAGCTGATGCGATTCCCGAACCCACAACCAGAACGCACAGGGCGGGCTAGTGTGAACCCAGCCTTACAGGGGAGGGGGACATAGCAAGGAGGGTGGAGAGGGGGAGGTAACAATAGTGTACACTTAGAGGAGATATATTATGGGGGGCAGGGGTAAGAGGATATGAATTGGGGGGGTGCTTTGAGAGTAGAGAGGACTTGTGCTAGAATGAGGGGGGTTGGAATTTGAAATCCCCCCACCCCACCTTCTAACACAAGTCCTCTCCCCTCTCAAAGCAACCCCCCACCAGCGCATATCTCACCCCTCCTCACCCCACCTTCTAGCATAAGCCCTCTGCTCCCCCAACACATAATCAAAGCCTGGCCTTTGTTTAGCCATGCCCCTTAAGGCCCTCCCACTGTAAAGGTTCACCACGCCCACTCTCACAGCGCCACGCTATGCGCATCGCAGGTCTCTGCCTCCCTCAAGTATATAAATATTTATTTATTGTAGACAGAGTTAAAAAAATATACAGAAAGATTTTTTTTTTAAATCTATATAGATATATATATATGTGCGTGTATATAGGCAGCAAGATCTGTTGATCAGCGGTGCTGGTGGGCGGAGCCTAATTGACACTCACTGTGGTGGGCAGAGCCTAACTGAATGTTTAAAAAAAACAAACAGCTAGCTCTTTGTCATTTCTTCTTGATCCACGCACTGAGTACAAGTGTTTGTGATTGCTCTGCAAAGTGTCTGCAGTTAGAAGAGATTTCTTTGATTGATTCGCATTTATCGCCTGTTAAATCAGCGAGGCAAATATCAAATCGATTTCTTTGATTGATTTCTGTTTGTCAGCTATAATATCTGCGAGACAAAGATGGGAATGCTGCTGAAAGCATTGATCTTTGTTATTGTTCTGCATCTGGCAACAGGTACATTTATCTTACATTTTTACTAATGAGAAAAAAAATATATAGAGAGAGAAAAGATTTTTTTTTAAATCTATATAATTGATAGATATATATCTTACAGTATATTTGCACACACACATATATATATATATATATATATATACTGCAAGGGTACTGAAGACAGCAAGATCAGTTGATCAGCAGTGCTGGTGGGCGGGGCCTAACTGACTCCACTCTAGTGGGCGGGGCCTAAATGGCTCCACTATGGTGGGTGGGGCCTAAATGTTTCCACAGTTGTGGGCGGGGCCTGACTGTTTAAAGAAAACAAAAACAGCTAGCTCTTTGTCATTTCTTCTTGATCCAAGCACTGATAACAAGTGTTTTGTGATTGCTCTGCAAAGTGACTGCAGACAAAGATGGGAATGCTGATGAGAATATTGATCTTTGTTATTGTTCTGCATCTGGCAACAGGTACTTATTTATCTTACATTTTTTTTAGTTAATGAGAAAAAAAAAATAGAGAGAGAGAAAAAAAGATTTTTTTTTTAATCTATATACACATATATATATATATATATATAAAATACTTTCAGTATATATACGCATATTTGCACACACACATCTATATACTGTGTGTGTATATCTACTGCAAAGTACTGAAGGCAGCAAGATCAGTTGATCAGCAGTGCTGGTGGGCGGAGCCTAACTGACTACACTCTAGTGGGCGGGGCCTAAATGTCTCCGCTATGGTGGGTGGGGCCTAAATGTATCTACAGTTGTGGGCGGGGCCTAACTGACTGTTTAAAGAAAACAAACAGCTAGCTCTTTGTCATTTCTTCTTGATCCACGCACTGATAACAAGTGTTTGTGATTGCTCTGCAAAGTGACTGCAGACAAAGATGGAAATGCTGATGAGAATATTGATCTTTGTTATTGTTCTGCATCTGGCAACAGGTACTTATTTATCTTACATTTTTACTAGTTAATGAGAAAAAAAATATAGAGAGAAAAAGATTTTTTTTTAATCTAATCTATATACACATATATATATATATATATATAAATACTTACAGTATATATGCATATTTGCACACACACATCTATATACTGCAAGGTACTGAAGGCAGCAAGATCAGTTGATCAGCAATGCTGGTGGGCGGGCCTAACTGTCTCCACTCTAGTGGCGGGGCCTAAATGGCTCCACTATGGTGGGTGGGGCCTAAATGTATCCACAGTTGTGGGCGGGGCCTGACTGTTTTAAACGAAAACAAAACAGCTAGCTCTTTGTCATTTCTTCTTGATCCAAGCACTGAGCACAAGTGTTTGTGATTTTCTCTGCAAAGTGACTGCAGACAAAGATGGGAATGCTGCTGAGAATATTGATCTTTGTTATTGTTCTGCATCTGGCAACAGGTACTTATTTATCTTACATTTTTACTAGTTAATGAGAAAAAAAAATATAGAGAGAGAAAAAGTTTTTTTTTTTTTAATCTATATACACATACTATATATATATATATATAAAATACTTTCAGTATATACGCATATTTGCACACACACATATATACTGTGTGTGTATATCTACTGCAAGGTACTGAAGGCAGCAAGATCAGCAGCAGTGCTGGCGGGCGGGGGGCCTAACTGACTACACTCTAGTGGGCGGAGCCTAAATGTCTCCGCTATGGTGGCTGGGGCCTAAATGTATCCGCAGTTGTGGGCGGGGCCTAACTGACTGTTTAATGAAAACAAAACAACTAGCTCTTTGTCATTTCTTCTTGATCCACACACTGATAACATAAGTGTTTGTGATTGCTCTGCAAAGTGACTGCAGTTAGAAGAGATTTCTTTGATTTGCGTTTATCGCCTGTTAAATCAGTGAGGCAAATATCCAATCGATTTCTTTGATTGATTTCTGTTTGTCAGCTATAATATCTGCGAGACAAAGATGGGAATGCTGCTGAAAGCATTGATCTTTGTTATTGTTCTGCATCTGGCAACAGGTACATATTTATCTTATATTTTTACTAGTTAATAAGAAAAAAAAATTCTGAGAGAGAAAAAATTTTTTTTTTAAAAATCTATATACAAACACACACATATATATATATATATAAAAAATACTTTCAGTATATATGCATATTTACACACACGCTGTGTGTATATGTACTGCAAAGTACTGAAGGCAGCAAGATCAGTTGATCAGCAGTGCTGGTGGGAGAGGCCTGACTCCACTCTAATGGGTGGGGCCTAAATGTCTCTGCTATGGTGGGCGGGGCCTAAATGTCTCCGCTGTGGTGGGCGGGGCCTAACTGACTGTTTAAAGAAAACAAAACAGCTGGCTCTTTGTCATTTCTTCTTGATCCACGCACTGATAAGTGTTTGTGATTGCTCTGCAAAGTGACTGCAGTTAGAAGAGATTTCTTTGATTGATTTGCGTTTATCACCTGTTAAATCAGCAAGGCAAATATCAAATCGATTTCTTTGATTGATTTCTGTTTGTCAGTTATAAAGATGGGAATGCTGCTGAGAGCATTGATCTTTGTTATTCTGCTGCATCTGGCAACAGGTACATATTTATCTTACATTTTTACATATATATATATATATATATATATATTTTTTTTTTTAATACACACACACACAGTGAGCTGCACACGGGATGGCAGTAAGACCCGGACAAGAGTTCTATTCCTATTCCCTTCTATTTCCAAAACGAAAAGGTTATTGGCTTACTTTAACCCTTTTTTATTTCTTTTCTACAGGTGCAACAATTACCGGCATCCAGACCTTCCAAAATTCCATTTATGCCAAAGTGGGCCATTCACTGTTGATCCCATGTGTGTTCAACAAGGATGAGTCTCTCCAAGGGCACAACCTTCAACTGGAATGGGGTATGACCCCAGAAAACGGCGGAGAATACCATCCTCTGCTACGTGTAAGCGACACCATGGCATTGCCTGTTCCACATCCTAATCGAAGAGCTCGGCTGAACCCGATGCATGTGCCTAGTGGACAGTGCGCCATGGTGATTGACCCGGCTAAACTAGAAGACAGTGGCACGTACAAGATCCGACTGGCCATAGACGGAGGAGAGTACAAAGAAGCCGAAGTCAAGGTTCATGTTCAGGAATTCAACAGAGAAAATGG